AATAAATGCAGATGGCCAGCACAGCGCACGCGGGAGGGCTGGGTTGGGGAGGACGTGGACTGTCGGGCACTTTGAAGGCTCCGGTGTCAGCTCAGCCTCCAGAGCTGAATTGCAGACAAAGTCTCACTGCTCCATGCTCCTGTGAGAGTGGATCGGAACTATTTCTTTCTCTTTAAAAATAATCCCAGAACACAGGCTAAAAGGAGGTGACTTTTTTCGACGTACCTACAAGATGGGGTGAAATGGCCTTGGCAGGAGAAGGCAAGAGATTTGAGTTGTGAGCTCCGGAGGTATTTCAGAATTGATGAAAGCAGAACCATGGTCTTCAGTGAAGAACATATCACCTCTGTCTTGTGAAACTTCAGTAATGGGAAAGTAGATGTTCTCGAGGAAAGGTGGCATTAAAAGCCTGAACAATGCTTCTCATTTTGCTTTGTATGTGTTTGATAAAGAGCTTGGGACAGTTAATCAGATGTTAACATAGAAAAATGGAGTTGTGTTTGCAGAAAGGAGAGGTGGTGGTATATCAAGTGGAGGTAAGGCTGTCACTATAAACAGCTAAGCAGATTGGGAGGGAAGTGAATCTTCTCCCCATGCTCATGGAAGAAGCTTTTCCTTGATGGAGTCGATCTGGGAGGGCACTAACAGCATCTTTCTTGGACATGGCACAGCACAGGGTGAGAGCCCCTCATTTGAGGGGTGGTGTTGGAATAGACTTGTGAGTCATTTTATTGGGACTTTCCTTCTAACACATTGGATTTATTGGTAAGTGCTACAAATAGACAATTGTGTCAGCAACAGCAGTATCTGGGAGATGAGGTGGATGTCAGGGACGGGAGGCAGGCCATTAACATTCCACCATTTTCTAGTGAAAGAAGCAGCGACTTGGACACGGAAACCCTTCCTGCTGGACAGTTGCCTCAAAATCCTGGCTGTGTTACCACCAAACATCTGGGCTGTTACCACTGCTCTGATTCATTAGACGAGGAGCTTTGCTGAAGAATGGTTTTGCGTGTGCTGTGAGGGGACTGCTTCGTTGAACCCTTGTGTTTCTCATTTGCATATGCATTCTGGGTCACCCGTGTACGTGCACCCGTATGAAATTTTGCTACTTCACATTTGAAGCGGTGCTAAGCTGGGCCATGCGTCGCTGAAGTTCACCATTTCCCTGCGAGGCTTTGCAGCAGTTGTTAACGCCTGTTTTTATCGGTGATCCCAGCGCTTGGTTAAAGAGCAGCATGTTACAGCGTGCAGGGAAGGGTACAGGGTGACAGAAGCAGTTGGATGGTGCTTATTGCAAAGGGAGACTGTCTCCTCCTAATTTCAGATGGTTTGTGCGCTTCAGGGCACTAAACTGGATTAGAGTGACAAACCAAGGTCACTGTTTCAAGCAGCAGGTTCAGCCCTCCTTGAACTTGACTTGCAAGCCTTGGGTTTCTCTTCCACCATCAGCCAGAGACCTCACCACAGGTGGTAGTTGCTTCAGTGGTCTCACCCCTTCCTTAATTTATCTCTGAAATTTAGAAACGAGGGCGATGTCACTCTTAAGTTGAACAAGTATAAGATGCAATGAAGGATGCATCAGTCCGCTTTATCTTGCGTGATTTTTGTGCGTGTGTTGCTAGCAATACCCGGTTCCTGGCACAAAAAACTTCAAAGGTGACATACAATACATTTGCAGGTTGTTAGGTTAGGACTATTCCCCTGGGTGTAGACCTGCTACCCAGAAAAGCAGATTCAGAGCAGCTGCTCTCCGCCCTCCCCCAGTGAACAAGAACCAGACTGCCTCAGTTCATCATGCTGAACGAGGGCAATGTCACTCTTAAGTTGAACGAGTATAACGATGCAATGAAGGATGCATCAGTCCGCTTTATCTTGCGTGATTTTTGTGCGTGTGTTGCTAGCAATACCCGGTTCCTGGCACAAAAAACTTCAAAGGTGACATACAATACATTTGCAGGTTGTTAGGTTAGGACTATTCCCCTGGGTGTAGACCTGCTACCCAGAAAAGCAGATTCAGAGCAGCTGCTCTCCGCCCTCCCCCAGTGAACAAGAACCAGACTGCCTCAGTTCATCATGCTGTTTGCAATTACAGTACAGAGATGTAGGATGTGTTGACTGCGGGACCTTGTGGTGAGGTGAGATCGCCAGGAACAAAATGATCGTTACAGGCCATTCATGTCAGCAGCGTTTATGCTTTTCTGTTTGCTTGCAAGCAAAAACAGCAGCTAATTTGCAAGGCTGCCTTTTGTAAAAGGGCTTTTGATCAATGCTTGCCTGTGTTAATGTTTCAGTAGGCTATTGATTTCTGCAACAGCTTTTGTTCCCTGAATTTATGTGCGATGGGTTTCAGCAGCGCACGCTATGCATGTTTGATTAAAGTTCATTTGACTTCCCTTGCAGCAAAGCTGGAAGCTGTTTTTACTCCCTGTTTGCAGAACCAGAGCTTTCCTGACTTACTCCTTTGTGCTCGAGCTCTTGCCACCCGTGCAGTCACCAATATGCTGTTTCTAATCTTTCCAGACTCGCTCCACTCCAGCATTTAATCCCTTAGGTAGACAATATAATATTAGATAGCCAGGCAGCTAATAAGATCTGGCATGGAATTTTTTGCAGCGTAGTACGTGTCTAACCTGTGTCTACGTATATAACATTAACGTTCTCTGTGTGTGCTTTCTCTTTGACTTTTATTTCTCTGTGTCGGAAAGTTGAGTCATTTACTGAGTCATGTAGCTGTGCAGTCTGATGGATTTGAAGTACAGAATATTCTCTAGTCCTCTCATATACCCAGATTTCATAGATGGGGTAAAACTAGTTGTTGAATAAACTTCTGTTTCATCTTTATCTGCATGCATTTGTGACTGCAGTTTTGGGAGGGTCTCAGGGAAAGAAGCATTATGAAGTTAGTATTTTTTTATAAATATACACCTTTTTTTTTTTTTTTTTTTTTAGTTTGGATTATGATGTAGTGCATGTATAAGTTGTTAAACTTCCCTTAGGACCTGGCGGGTTTGTGATGTGTAAATAGAGCTCAAATAGATTCCCATTTCCTGTTTTATGATAGGAGGAAAAGATTGGTTTGCACTCTGCTGTTGCCATATGTCAGAGGACACATTAATTCACTGACATAAAGACATGGGATTTACTGACTTGCTCCTTGGTACTGACACTTCAGATATGATATAAATGAATTTATAGGTAAAATGTGGCTGGTTTCATTTGCAAGAGACTTTCTACTTCTGAAAAGCATTGCATAAGCTTTTCTGCAGAGCTTCGTCTGCCTCCTGGCACAGGTCGTATCCTCCGTTTGACAAACACTTGTGCCGGATGGACTTTGAGCCCGCTTAATGGACTCAGAGTAAAATGTTATTTCTAACGCAAACACATGCAGGAGCGGAGCCGGGTGCTGGGTGTCAGAACTCTGTGTCCTTCCCAGATCTGACATGGCTTGCATGCTCATTGCCAGCCTGCCGCCATTTTGGTTTTAGATTCTCTTCAGGAAAGAGTTATATTTTCTTAATTTATTTATTTTTTTTCAGTAGGACTTTTGTCCTTCAGAATCAACAATTGCAGGTAATGATTAATTTTGCCCACTTCCTCCTCCTCCTCACCAAGTATCACTCTGATTCCAGTTTGGTGTGAATGTTGTTCAGGTCTGTGGTGGAGATCAGTAGCATCAATCCCAGTCTATAGCAGCGCAGATAAAAAAACCTCATCTGTCTATTGCCATAAATCAAAGTTGTGGTTGTGTTCTCTTTCTGGTGTTTCTATTTTTAAATTAGGCATTGGTAAAATTCTTAAGTGTCTTAAATGTCAGCAGTTAATGTCTAGAACAACATCCTCCTTTTGTCTTTCAAGTGTTTCAGTGGTACAGATGTTAGTTACGGCTGTAATTGCTTGTTTGAGGCCCTTGGGAGAGTTTGGATTAAGGGTGTGTCTTTATTAGAGTTAACGTGAGTGATCTGCCGTGAGTATAGGCTGCAGGATTTCCCCACAGAGGCAGCAGGCTGAGGTTATGTTATTTGATCAGATAAAATGTAGTTCAAAGAAACCCTTTTTGTGGGCAATTCAGGTATGTTTGTTCTGATGTTGATTTTTCAAGGGGCTGGTTAGAACTTCTCCGTTTTTCTCTTGGAACTTGAAAGAAACAACACCTTTTACCTTAGAGGCAGACAAGTCGCCAGGAAATGATGGGGTTTCAAAGTAAGAGAAAAGAGATTAAAACCACATGCTGTTCTTCAGTTCGGCATTACATCCGCTAGTTTGAATGGCAGCTGCTCTAGTTTTTGAATGTAAGCCAGATTCATTATGCTGTGAAATTATCACTCATTTCTCTAGGTGTGCTCTTTTAACTGCTTAATTAATTTAGATGTGGGCATATATATTCAAATTAAAACACGATTTACTGTAGTAGGGTTGTTATGGTTATAGACTTCTTGTTGAACACGTTTTTATTCTAGCTTTCAGCTTCTTAAACAGGTATATTTAAAAATATCTGTATGCAGAATGTAGGTTGACAAAATGGCAGTATCTGTTTGAATTGATCCTTGTTCTTTCTGTAAACACCAGAGAATCCGTAGCGGTTACCGATTATTTGTTCTGACCGCTCACTGAAAGGCGGTGCCTCTCCGGACGCCGTGCCTCCTGAGCTGTGCAGGAGTGTCTCCGGGATGCTGAGCCGAGAGCAAGGGCAGCCCCTTCCGAATTGCTGAGACCAGCGGCAGCATCGAGGGGAGGCTGGATACGTACTACCCGACCTCTTTTCTAGTGGAGGAGGAGAGGAGTGAGAAGACACTTCTGTTCCTCCCCTGCAAAAGCAAACAAAAAATAATGAGGATTTTTTTTCTGTCTTATCTAAAGAATTCTTTTGTTTGGCTGAAATACATCGTTGAAGCTTCCTACAAAAATACGTGTGCACGCATACAGAGAGCAAAAGGGAGGAAAAAAGCTGACAAGTCAGATTTGCATGCCCCTCTAACATACTCCTTCTGTATTTGCAGGGAGAACTAATCACCTTCTATTACTATTGGAAGAAAACCCCTGAAGCAGCAAGTTCTCGAGCCCACCGTAGGCATCGAAGACAGGCTGTGTTTCGGAGAATTAAAACTCGAACTGCTTCCACTCCAGTCAACACTCCCTCCAGGCCCCCCTCCAGTGAATTCTGTAAGTGGAAGCTAAAAGTAATGCATTTATCTTTGTTTAGATGCAGGGAGCAACAGTAATGTAACGGTGCTGTACCTTCAAGTGAATGAAGCAAGGAAATGGAGTTCAGGCAGTTGCCCTCTCCTGGTCCTATACCATTATGCTGGAATGTGGTGGGCGTCTTTGATCACCAAGTGCTTTGTGCAGTTCTTAAACATAAAAGCATCCTGTAAGGATGGAATCATTGCCCTGGTGCTGAATTTCCCTACTCTTTTCTTGGGTTTGTGTTGTATTTTCTCCAGGCTTGTTGCAGTAATGGGAATTAGAAAATGCAAACCGCAGGAAGTCCTTCATCCCTTTGGAAGGAAGTCCCTTTCGCCCGTACTGGTGGCCCATACCTTCTGCTTGATCTCAGGCTGTGTGCTGCAGCCAGCACTGTTGTATCTTAATGCATCTTGGAAGAACTTTGGCCTTGACTGAAGCAGAAGTGTCTAAACAAAGAATAACTACCCAAACCAGTGAAATGTGCTGCATTGCAAAGGCTTATGATTAGTCATGTCCATGTGGCTTTATAAACTTCGATGTAAAAGGCTTATCTTACCCTGTGAGTTTCGAGTCTTTCTATGGACTAAACCCAGCACCTTTCACATACCTTCTAAAGAAAAGGGACTATGGGCAAGCATGGGGAAGGCAGAAATTGGCAGAGTCTTATTAATGTGGGGGAGGTAGAGGATGTGGTGAGCAGGCAGGACAGAGAATTCTGGAGAAGGGTATTAGTGAGGTAGTAAGAAAGGGCTGTTAGCTTCTCCTTGCCGAAATTGAAAGGGTTTATTGCTGATTTCTGTGCACAAGAAGGGGGGATCTTGACTCTACAGCTCAATCCATGATACTGAGCACTTGAGAGTGCATGTGGCTGGAAGGACCCATCCACATGGATCTGACTACAGGATGAATATAAAAATCAGTTTAGTAAAAGAAAGCAAGTTCTAGCCCGGTGTCAATTTTGCAGTTAGGGTTTGAACATCTGCAAGAATTAATGTAGAAATTATGGTGGTGCTAGCAGGTACTGTTATTAAATGGGACCCTGTGTTAATTTGAAGAGCAGTGAGTTGATGACAAACACTAATGGCAAGTACTGTAGAATCCCTCCCTCTCTATAAACTGCATGTAATACAAAATATCCGCTTGGAACCTTTAGAAAAACCAGTATTCTTGCATCAAGAACTTCTTTTCTAATTAGACGTGAACAAAAGAAGCCACAGGGCTTTCTGCTTGTGAGAAATTATAGACCTGTTATGTTGTGAATTTGTAGTGATGGTGCTAGAAAAATGTAGTACTCTAATCAGAAAGGATTTACTCCTGTGTTGTTTTAGAAGATGAGGTAAGATACAGGTTTTGTGATGTCTGCAGATTTTCAGTGGTTTAGATGGTGCTTTTTAGCTCACAGCCTTGTAATCAGTGAATTTGCTATATATTTCTTGCCCCAAAGAAAAGTGACCCTTTCCATATTCTTCACTTCTTTGAAACACGACATTCTTGAAATCTAAGTCTGCCACGGGTTAAAAGTATTACGGAGCCTTGCAGTAAGAAATGGAAAGCTGGTAGTATCTTTGTAGTACCTCTCATCTGAAAGAATCACAACATGTTTTTCAAACAGTTACGTTATATGCAAGCATCGTTTCTTCCACCCACAAAACACATCTAGCTCTTGGGTTAAATATAGCCACTGACTAGCAGAGCATAACAGCAGTCCCCATCTGGTTTAGAAGATGAAGTCTAGAAACAAAATAAAAACCAGAAAAGCCATTGCAGTATCTGTCCACAGAATCTAGTAAAGAAGGATTTAGATATAGAATACTTGATTTTAAATTTGACCGGGTTCTAGAGATAAACCTCCTTTCTCTTGAAATTTGTGCTTTTGGAATGCAGCCTCTCTAACTAAGCATGAACAGTATTTGAACAAAGAGTTAATTGAAAAAGTACTGTGTACTGAATCAAAAGTTCTGTGAACTGTATCACTCGGTGCATTCTTGGAATCCTCCTTTAATCTGTAGAATGATCAGGTCTGGCCTTGCTTTGTTTGCAAAATCGGAAATACGGCCGTCCAAGGCAAGGTGGTTGTAGGAAGTCACAAAATTTGTGTGAAGACTATTATTAATGGTTGTTTTAGCCAACTAGGAGGAAAAAGAAAATCCTGCTGAGTTTTTCTTTACTGTTTTCCTCTTCCCTTGTTCTTTACTTATTCAGTGGACTTGAGCTCGGCCAGTGAAGATGACTTTGACAGCGAGGACAGTGAACAGGAACTGAAGGGCTACGCCTGTCGTCACTGCTTCACAACCAGTAGGCACCTGATTCATTCCTGTATTTCTCTCCTTTCTGCTACTGCCTACTTAATGCAGGTTCATTCAAGCAGGAGCGGTTCGTGTGCATGTACAGCTGTTCAAAAAACTGTGGGGTTGAATCAGCTAAAATGTGCAGCATTCCTAGCAGAGTTAATCATGCTTTGCCACTGTGAATTAATATTGCAGTGACAAAGGAGAATCCTGAGAGGTAGACATTTATATAGGAAAAAAATAATCTATGTAATCCGTAATCTATGTGATCCATTTGTGATATAACAAATCAATATTGGACTGTGACTGTCACACACAAAACTTCTTTACACCGTGCCAAATCTCTTCTGCAGCAGCCTCATTCCTGTAGGTATTCCTGAAGGTTGTCTGAGATTCGGACATATGCATGGCATCGAAGTCTGAGCCCCAAAATAGGGAAGGGAAGGAAATGAGAAGTTCATAGCTCACTTCACTTTAAGAAACCACAGCTTTGGAGAATAATAGCTGCCTGTTAGCTCCCAGGTAGAGGACGTAAGGCTTCTTTCTTTGTTTTCAAAACTGTAGTTACTTAAGTAAACAAATACTTTGCAAATTGAATATTGAAGATGTGCACTGGAACACAGACTAAGCCTGGAACAGGACGAAGTTTTCCAGAAATTTCTCCAACTTCTGTTGCCCGTAGAAAAGCAGCTACTTTTCTAGTTGTTGTGTGCTTTTTTAAATAATGCAGTGTGTTTGTGCTGAGTATCTGGTCCATTGCTTATTTCTAAGCTGTTGCTTTTCCTGCCCAAAGCCTCTAAGGACTGGCACCACGGCGGTCGAGAAAACATTTTATTGTGCACTGATTGTCGCATTCACTTCAAAAAATACGGAGAGCTGCCACCCATCGAGAAGCCTGTAGACCCTCCACCCTTTATGTTTAAGCCTGTCAAAGAGGAAGATGATGGACTCAGTGGAAAGCATAGCATGAGGACAAGGCGGAGTCGAGGCTCGGTAAGCTTAACGCTTTGCATTGCAGCTTCTTCTGTAAAGAGGAGGTGTTGTCTGGAAAATGGTGGTCGAACTTCTGAAATGACGCTTTCTCCATCTTGCTTGTTTGTCATGGTATGTGCCTGCTGCTGCATTTGTGTCTGCAGGTGTGAAATTTGCTAAGGTTGAGGCTTTCTTTGGAAAAGAGCTGAAATGTCTCTTCTTGCACGTTCTAGTCAAACTTAATTTCATGATTGAAATGACTGGCAGGGGACTGTCATCGTAAGGGAGCACTTGACCAGTGTATCACTACAGAGTTTGTGTCCTCCTTCCAGCTGGATCCTGTCAGAGGTGAGCCCTTGGGCTCATTTTAAAAGAGGAGTTTTAAGAACTTAAATGCTATTCATGTGGTCTCCTCATATTACTGCAGTTAAAAATCTCTTCCCTCCAGAAAACTGTAGTTTTCTCCTATGGTTGGTGTGCTCTGTCACAGAGGTTTTACTCGGTGAAATGCCGGGAGCCTTACCGCGCACAAGGCACCGGTGAGAACTCTGACAGCAGCTCTGGTTAGTTTAACGTTTGCTTTGGGTTTTGGCTGATAAAAAGCAGCAGATGTATTTCTTTTCCATGCCCTCCCCTCTCCATCTTTCTGATCATGATGATATGATCGTTGTTTCTAAATGTCTTGTGAGGCTACGTGGTCAGGTAAGGTTGACTTCATTGTTTTTTATGGTAGCTACTCATCCCAAAAACTGCTGGAGTGGGAGGGAAACAGCATTGATTATTGAAATAAGCTCTACTGTGATTCCTTATTGACGTTAAAACTGTGGTTTTACAAACTGGTCTTGACTGCTTGAATGCTGACAGATAGACTTTTTTTTTTTTTAATGGAACGTGAGGGTTGCGTCCTACCTCACTCTCTGCATGTGTTCGCTTAAAAATGTGCATGCGTGTGTTTTATGAAGAAAATTTAGCATGCAAACAGCAGCAGCTTTGGAACGTCTTTCTAATGTTGTCATTTCTAGCAGGCGCTGCTAAATGTTTTTAAGTAGACAAGCACTTAACGTTTTTAAGTAGATAAATTAAGGATTTGCCTCCTGTTACTTTTAAGTCCAGATGAGCTTTCAAGGAAGAATTGTAACAATGTTAAATGCTCTTGGTTTTTCATTTTTCACACTCTTGAGTGCTCCATCCATTCCCCTGCTGTAAGACAGAAAAAAAATCAGAGGTTGGACAAATGCTGACTTTGATATGTTTTCTTTTTGTTAAGATGTCTACACTACGTAGTGGTCGTAAAAAGCAGCCAGCCAGCCCTGATGGTAGAGCCTCACCTATTAATGAAGACATCCGTTCCAGTGGCCGCAACTCTCCGAGCGCTGCCAGCACCTCCAGTAATGACAGCAAAGCAGATTCCGTGAAGAAATCTACCAAGGTAAAGTTTTCCCGTTCTTTTTTTGTGTTAGGACTGGACACCTGAGGCCTCTTCAGTCAGCTAAATGAGATGCAGATTCTAGGAGGCCAGGGAATCTCTCTGTGACCTAGAAATTCCTACTTGTGTGGATAAGCAAAAAATTTAATGGTGCATCTGACTTATACTTTGTTCCTGTAGATAAGGATGTATGATGATAAAAACCATTAAAGTATCCCCACATAACCTTACCGCTGTCATGATAAATTAATCCTTCAATTTTGGATGCAAATGTAAGCATTAGGCTCGTGGAAGTAATACAGATCAGAAATGCTACATTTGAGACAAGTAGACAGTTTTGGGGATTTTTTTTTTTAAGCAGTATTTAATCCTTGTTTACAAAGGAATATGAATATGTAGTAATTGAGACTACTGCTGTTACTGTTTTTCTGTGTATATTTGCTTGATTTTTCAGAGCAAGCTGACAGTTTAGTCTGTTTAAATGAATAAGTGTCTTTCCAAGAGAGTACTGAAGAAACAAAGCCAGATGAAGCAGGAAGGCTTGCCATTAAGCAGTGTAAATTGAAAAGTAGCAAGTTAAAAATAAATATTTTAAAGAAAAAGGAAGTCAAAACAGGAGTACGGAGCAAGTTTTCACATGATAAAAGCTGAGAACTTAGGAAATTTTGAAGTTAGGTAATTACGTGATGTATAAAGCTGTCCCAGGCTGTGAAAGAAGGTAGTAATGTTGTAATAGCTACTCACTGTTAGCCCTATATTTGAGAGGATATAAAAATATCCCTCTCCAATATCAGGAGTAAAGCAGGAGTTTCATGTAGTAGAAAGAGGCTTATCCTGTGCCCGTCTCCGCAGAAATTCTTGCTCCATCCTCTGTTACCAACTGGTCTTGGTCTCTGTTAGAGTTGCTACATACCAGTAGATCTGGTATGAGTTCCTGACAGACTTGATTCTGCAGAGCTGAAAACTGCTCTGTTTACTCCTTGACTTTCAAAGCTCGAGACCACTTCTGCATGATGAGGAATGCTTTACTTGATGTTCCTTTTTCCTACTAGCTTGTGTAAGAAACGTGTGCAGGGCTTGTGTGCAAACTGCCCCTTGGGTTTCCATCTGTAGAAGTAAAGTTGCCTTCTGTTTTGGGTTCTCTCTTAAATTTGACCTCCAGAGGGAGTGGCTGGAGCGTTATGTAGATGCAAGTCGTCTGAGAGCTGCTCCTGGCAGATGGTGGAATACAGCAGCAGCTCAGGAACAGATTCCCCTGCAACCTGTAATTGGACACAGGGACAGATGCGTATTGGATTGTTGTTAAATACTGACTATCTCAACTTCTGATCGGTTCTCCTGTTCCATAGGAACCCTCCGCGTTCATTTGTGTTAAATATGGTAGCGCTAGCATACGCTCAATTTACTTTTGCATTTACATCACTGGTAACCGTTGTGTTCTGCTTCATTCGTGGCAGAAGATAAAAGAAGAGGTATCTTCTCCTCTCAAGAACTCCAAGAGGCAGCGGGAAAAGGCAGCTTCTGACACAGAGGAACCTGACAGGTCCAATGCCAAAAAATCCAAAACTCAAGTGAGTCCCACAGAGGGATATTTTTCTCTTAGGAGAATGGTATGAGAGTGGGAGGGGGTGCAAACCCGGTAACAAACCAAAAACATGAAATCAGTTTAAGCCACAGCAAATTGTAACTTAATCTGTGGCTGGAAAGCAACCAATATTATAATGTGTTCCTTCTGTTGAAAAACAGTGGATTGATACGGGGAAAGTCCAGAAGTCTTTTTTTGTTTTAATATCAGTAGCAACCATATAGGAGTATACTTGGATTATTTTCCAATCACCCACCCCACCCCCCAATTTTTTTTTTTAGTTGAAATTTGGTTTTTCCTCTTCGGTGGCAAGTTAGAAGACCACCACTGGAGTTCTCTTAATTTAATGGTATCAAAGCTTGATTGACATACTTGCAGGATGTCTTTTCAGCTGCATGTACCTCACCAGGTTCACTCTTTGCACAGGATTTGGGAATTTTGGCACTAAGCTTTCCATATTACAGAATCACAGAATGATTGAGGTTGGAAGGGACATGGAGGTCATCTAGTCCATCCCCTCTGCTCAAGCAGGGCCACCTAGAGCTGACAGCCCAGGACCATGTCCGGACGGCTTTTGAGTATCTCCAAAGATGGAAAGTCCACCGCCTTTCTGGGCAACCTGTTCCATTGCTTCATCACCCTCATAGTGAAAAAGTGTTTCATTATGTTCAGGCAGAACCTCCTGTATTTCGGTTTATGCCCGTTGGCACTGGACACTACGAAAAAGAGCCTGGCTCTCTCTTTGCACCCTCCCTTTGGATATTTACATTGCTTGTGCTGTTTTAAGTCCTGTGAGGTTCAAAGGGTGGTACTTCCACTTGTGTTTGCACAGCATGCGTGACAGGTTGCATCCTGTGGCGTGCTGGTAGTGTTCTTTGTGCTGTTTTCTCACGCACGGTGGTTATTCTTCCCCCTCTCCCCGCAGGAGATCAGCAGGCCAAACTCTCCCTCAGAGGGCGAGGGCGAAGGCGAGAGCTCTGACAGCCGCAGCGTCAATGACGAAGGGAGCAGCGATCCCAAGGACATTGACCAGGATAACCGGAGCACGTCACCCAGCATCCCTAGCCCTCAAGACAATGAGAGCGACTCGGATTCATCTGCTCAACAGCAAGTGCTGCAGGCACAGCCCCAAGTGCTTCAGGCACAGAGGTGTTCTGGCCAGGCTCCTGCTCCTACGCCACCGATACCAGCCCAGTTACCAGCATCGCTGCCGGCAGTGTCCAGCGCTGCTTCAGCTCCACCGCAGGTCTCACCGTCAGCGTCCCAGCCCACTAGCCAGCCCCAGGCCCCCGCGCCACCGCCTCCTCATTCTCACATACAGCAGGCCCCGGCTTTGCACCCGCAGAGACTCCCGTCACCCCACCCACCTCTGCAGCCTCTGAGCGTGTCGCAGAGCCAGTCGACCCCTGCCTCTTCGCAGCCTCACCCGCAGGCTCCGCTCCACAGTCAGACCCAACCTGCCCCTCACAGCCTGCCGGCCCAGCCGCTCCTGCCTCATCCTGTACCTTCCCAGCCATTTTCCCTCCCCGCTCAGTCATCTCAGTCTCAGGTTCCCCTTCAGACACAAGCACCGTCTCATTCTCACTCCGCTCTCCAGGTTCAGGTAACGCAGCCTGTCCTGCCAACCGCGACCTCACTGCAGCAGGCTCAGCCTCCACGGGAGCAGCCCTTGCCCCCTGCGCCCATGGCCATGCCTCATATCAAACCTCCCCCTACCACCCCAATCCCTCAGCTCCCCACTGCTCCATCCCATAAGCACCCTCCTCACCTCTCTGGCCCTTCTCCATTCTCCATGAACTCCAACTTGCCTCCACCACCTGCTTTAAAACCTCTGAGCTCCCTCTCAACTCATCATCCTCCATCTGCACACCCTCCTCCTTTGCAGCTGATGCCTCAAAGCCAACCGCTGCAGTCTTCGCCAGCCCAGCCTCCTGTACTGACGCAGAGTCAGAGCCTTCCCCCACCTGCTAATCACCCCCCATCTGGACTCCATCAGGTATCCTCCCAGCCCCCCTTTTCTCAGCATCCGTTTGTCCCAGGAGGCCCACCTTCCATCACCCCTCCTTCTTGCCCCTCCACTTCCACGCCACCCACTGTGCCTGGCATCCCACTTCAGACTTCCATCTCCACATCAGCAGCTTCTAGTGGAAACGTGCCAGTGGTGACAGCCTGCACGCTACCGCCTATTCAAATCAAAGAAGAAGTCCCAGATGAAGCTGAGGAACCAGAAAGCCCTCCCCCTCCACCCAGAAGTCCATCACCAGAACCCACTGTGGTGGATACACCAAGTCATGCTAGTCAATCAGCCAGGTATGGAGTAGTCAGCAGTGCTTCCTTAATGTGCTCGGTCTTTCTGCACCCCCAAAAGCTGAGAAATGAGCTCCTGTGGAGCTGAGTGTACTTTACACGCGCATTTTGTCAGCCTCTCTTTCTGGCATGATTTTGCTCTGTTTTTCTGGAAAGGTGCTGATACAGTCAGCATATTCAGACAGGGCATTGCAGTTTGTAATTGTGAGAGGGGTTTTATACTCTGCTTGTCTGTGGAGTAATATGGTACAATTAATTTTGTCATGGCTTTCAGGGAAGCTGGTAGTGCTATTGTATAAGCATAGAGTGATACTTTTTTTTTTTTTTTTTTTTTTTTTGACATACAGCTCTTAAATCCCAGACTCTTGGATCTTTTAAGCTCTTTCTGTTTTGTTTCTTTCAGGTTCTATAAGCACCTGGACCGTGGCTACAACTCATGCTCAAGAGCAGACTTATACTTTATGCCTCTGGCAGGATCGAAACTGGCCAAGAAGAGAGAAGAGGCCATTGAAAAGGCCAAAAGGGAAGCAGAGCAGAAAGCCAGAGAAGAGAGGGAGAGAGAAAAAGAAAAAGAGAAGGAAAGAGAGAGGGAGCGGGAGCGTGAAAGAGAAGCAGAAAGAGCTGCGGTAGGTTTATTTATAGCTAAGAGCTGTTTAAGGGACTTGGCATGGTAGGATCTGACCTGGATGGTGACTACGGAATGCAAATCCCCAGAAGCGCTTTAACTCGTGTGCCATCAGGTATTTGTGAATATGGGAGCCTGGTGTGTTAAGTGAAAGCCAGCCAGCTGTGAGCACCTCCTGGCCTGCCTGTGACGTTCCTCTCTTTAAAGGAAATGGAGAGTTTCTACTCATGGTCTTTTCCTGATGTGTGGGAAGCCAACGCAGCTGGGGATAACTAGGCCAAGTATTTACGTTTAGTTGCAGTAGAAAAGCACTCTGTGCGGATACAGTGAATGCCTTTGTGCACCTTGTACTTCTGTGCAGGCGCAAGAGTGCTGTCTGCTGGAAGAAGGGGACCTGAAGACTTTTAAAATTTGAAGTAAACTTAAAGGCACATAACTTTTTTTTTTTTTTTTTTAATGGGGAGACCCAAACTCCAGTCTTCGTATAAAGAGCCAATATAACTAATCCATTTTTCTGTGGCCTGTTGGAAAGGAGTGATTACTTCTGGGCCCACAGAATTGGTGGTCAGTAATGCATTACTGATGCTGAAAAGGAAGGTGCTAAAGTCTTCCTATTCCCTGGCGTGTTTCAGAGATCTGAATAATAGCTATGTGTTTCTGTGGGATTACAAAAGTCAGGATATAGCATCTGTCCACTAAAGGATGTCATGTATGGGAACTTTGCTTTATTTGAGGGATGGGGATCTTTGTGCAATCGCATGAGTAAACTGTGCTTATTGTCCTCCCCAGAAGTACTACGCTGCCCTTGTGCAGGAGGGGAGAGCAGGATGCAAAGTCCTGATGTGAAAGGAGTGGAATTTGTTGTGTTGCACATCGTGGGCATGAGTTTCCTTGGGTGTAGTGGGTTTGAGGATACAAGTGAGTGTGGAGAGGAGAGGAAGAACATGCTGCACACAAGACTGGTAGTCTGTAGTGACATGTACCAGCCAGCTATTGCCCATAGCTGTGACACGTACCACCTAGTTACTGCTTTACTAACTGTAAAGCAGTTGTGTAGCTTTGAGGCTGCCAGTACAAAGAAGTTATCTTCTGGCCTGCAGGATAGACACAATCCAGTTCTTCCCCAAACCACATTGAGCACACAACTGCAGGAGTCACGAGGCTCAGCAGGCTGCACTTAGCTCCTCTTAGAGCTTGAAGGACAAGAAGGGAAGTCTGTGCCTGCTGTGTTTTCACACCAAATGTGTTGAACTAAAATTCTCTTCCCCCGTTCTGTGCAGCAGAAGGTATCCAGCTCCTCCCATGAAGGCCGTCTTGGAGAGTCTCAGCTCAGCGGGCCAGCACATATGAGACCTTCATTTGAACCTCCACCGACGACCATTGCTGCTGTACCACCTTACATTGGTCCAGATACGCCTGCTTTACGAACACTGAGTGAATATGCCCGCCCTCATGTCATGTCGCCAACAAACCGTAATCATCCCTTCTTTGTCCCCCTGAACCCCACCGATCCACTTCTGGCCTACCATATGCCCGGCCTCTACAATGTGGATCCCACCATTCGGGAACGAGAGCTGCGAGAGCGGGAAATCCGGGAGCGAGAAATCCGGGAAAGGGAGTTGAGAGAGAGGATGAAACCTGGCTTTGAGGTGAAGCCCCCAGAGCTAGATGCACTGCACCCAGCTACTAACCCCATGGAGCATTTTGCCAGGCACGGTGCACTGACTATTCCCCCAACAGCAGGACCTCACCCGTTTGCTTCCTTCCATCCGGGTTTGAACCCCCTTGAAAGAGAGAGACTTGCACTGGCAGGCCCACAGTTACGGCCTGAAATGAGCTACCCTGACAGACTGGCAGCAGAGAGAATACATGCTGAGCGGATGGCATCGCTGACAAACGACCCGTTGGCACGGCTCCAGATGTTCAACGTTACGCCTCACCATCACCAACATTCACACATACACTCGCATTTACACCTTCATCAGCAGGATCCCTTACATCAAGGTGAGCCCAGGGAAACGGGCTAGGCAGTTTCCTAGGGAACCTCCCTCGTGAGCTGTTAGCAGAGGTCTACCCAAAACAGGCAAGCTGTGCCTCTGGAATTCAAGTAGCAAAATCCCTGTTTTGTTGTATATGTGACTTCTGTACTGTATCAAGTTATAACTGAAATGCAAACAATTTTTTTGGGGGGGAGGGTGGACAAATAACAGTGATAAAGTAAATGAAGGTAACAGTACAGCTATCATCATTGAGACTGCACGCTGTCACTGTAAAAGGCTTGCTGTTTCGATTTTGTTTTTTAAAAGTACTGGGGTTCTAGAGTACCACCTTACAGTGGTGTCTGGTGTACGGGTGGAGGCTCCGTTGGGTGAAGGGAATTCACTAGAACCAGGACAGAGAGATGTCACAGAACTGGCAGCACCGCTAATGGCTGTTATGAGTTAGAGCTGGAAAGGAGCTGAAGCTGGTGTTTCCCTATAGGAACTGAAAAAAAAAAATGAGGAGAGAAAGACTTCATCTCTTTAGCCATTTGACATGACAACCATCTGGCTTTAGTTGAGCTAAAATTCTCTGTCAGGAATCTCATAAAAACCATCTAAATTTATAGGTTGGCATCTTTTTAGCTACAGTATATTCTTATGTGTGGAAATTTTTTTCCCCAGAGTATTTAATAGTTTCAAAAGTGAATCGATGCCTTGCTCGTTTCTAACGCGAGCTACGTGGTTAGTCCTTTAGAAGTCTGAAGTCTGGAACCTGGAGTCTGGAAGATGAGGCACTAAGCAGAATTTTTTCTGATTTTCTGATGGCAGACTGGAGAGGACATAGCAAGCAAGGCACCAGGTGCAGTAGCTGCTAAGTAAGGGCCAAAAAAAAAAAAAGTCCAAGTACTTGAAGTGCAGCTTCTGGTGCAGCTGGCTACAAATGTGGTGTCTGTGCAAGCAAATATAGCATACTTTGCCTTGGAGCAATATGCATTAAACATAGCTGAGATGTCTGCTTTTTGGAGATTGGAAGGATTTTGAGTGCTGTTGTGGAAGCCAAATTGTATAGCAAGGAAATCAGCAAGGGTCTTGTGAGATTGTTACGGGGCGGGGGTTACAGGTAGGAGGTGATAGCACTGAATATCGACATTCTTAAAGCTGTGGCTGTGGTTGAGACTGCACAAATTACAAACCAGTTCAATTTAGGGCAGGTTTGCATACCCCATTGATAGCAGAAGAAATTTGTCGTAGATTGTGTCTATGCAAGGATTCTGTTGTCAGGTAAGTCACCACCTCTGTGCAGGTAAGTCTGGATACTCCTCAGTTATTCTGGATAAAAATATAGCTAGTACGTTCTCGCTGTCAGTCTAGCAAGAGACTGGTGCAGACGAAGCCAAGTCACCTCAATGTTAAGTCTCTCTTACCTGTATTGGAAAAGTAATTTGGCTGTAATCTTGGACGCCAGGTTAAAATACAGTTAGGGGCTCTTGCGTGTCTCTGAGTATTTCTTGCTCCAGAGTAGCTCCACAGGTGGGTAAGGCCCTACCGTGCATAACCTGTGTGTTTCCTTAGAGTGGGGATGAATAGAGTAAAACGTCCACACATCTCTGCTCTGGACCAGGTAACAGCTGAGGGAGACTTGTATTAGCTGTGTTGTATTCCTTTCATTTTTGTGGTTCCTCTGCAGTCTGCTTACAGCATAACAGGCAGAGATTTCAGATGAGCTGGTGAATAAGTGTTTTTCAGGTTTTGCTGGTGTCGTCTTTCATCATACTAGTAAAGTGACATCAGAAGGGTTGTCTACAGATGTCCTCTCCACACAATGATGGTGACAATGTCATCTTTTGCAAACAAAGGTTTTGGCCAGCTTTTGGCCTGTCAAGCAGTATTGGTAAAGTCAGAAGGGTGCTGAAGTGCTTTTGTACTAAATGTCACTAATGATCCTTGAATTTTATGTGTGGAAAGGGGAAATAGGAGAGTTTGTGGGAAATTTTTTTCTAAATGTTGACAATCTTTGTTGGTTTTTTTCCCCTTGCTTGGTGGATTTCTTTTTCTTGTAGAAATTGAAGGCCGTGGGTTGTTGCTTTAACAATTAAGACTGTTTGGTAAGCAGATGGCACTTGAAGATAGAGAAGTGTGTTTCAAATTGGACGGAGCTAAGGTCCTGGTAATTACATGCCAGATAGGCCAAATGCTGATCCGGCTCAAGTCTAACGGGGCTTTTGCTCTCCCAACAGTGAGCGATGCTTCCCAGAGCAGTTGATTGATTGCTTGCTTTCCTTCTTTTACAGGTTCAG